GACGGCCTCTGATGCTGGCTGGCTGCTAGGTTCTGTCTGAGATTGCTGTCGCTGCTGTGCAGCCTGGTGTTGTTGAAAAAGGCGGGATCCCATCTGTCTGATTAATGCTCGTTGTTCTTTGGGGAGACGATGAAGCAGGCCATGGGCTCTTTTTGGCCGCGCCGGGCACGCCGCTTGGTCCACGGCATGTGGTCCGAGGCAGTTGGCACATTGCTCGGGGGCAGTGCAGCTGTCACTGTTGTGGTTAGTCTTTCCACAGCGTTTGCATCGTGTTTGTCTGTTGCATGCATGTCGTGTGTGGTAGTCCCAGCAGTTCTCGCACTGCTTGGGAGGGTTGGTTCTTTCGATCAGTCTGGCTAGTCGGCTAGTGCCAAACAGGCTCCAAGGCCTTTTAGTTGGTTCTAAGAAGGAAATGACAAGTGTTTTGTATGGATGTTGGTCATTATCACGACGGGGGACTCGAACGCTGACCGGCGTAAGTCCCGTCTACTAACCGGCGTGAGTCCCGTCTGGTTGTATATTTCGTTATGGACGGCAGCATCGTAGTTCAGTTCGTTTCCGTAAAGGTCGGTAAGTCTTCGAGGGCAGTTGTCTACGGCATAGGTGTACCATTTTTGGCTTGTCTCGACAGCCGTTGCGCCGAGGTCATCGGACCATTCGGCTTGGCGTTCTACAAAGACTGCAAGCCAGACTGCTTGCTCTCTTTGCAGTAGTTCTACAAAGGGCCGGATATAGGCGAGATACTTGTACAGGACCCGACTCGGCCGGGATGGCACTCTCGGTTCGTAGATCGTTTTGCCTTGTGATGACGGGTGATGTAGATGATGTGTGACTTGAATAGTCCCCTTTGGGCGGATTCGCTGTTCCCGCATAAGAGAGAGAGCAGTTCAGACCAACAAGCGGGCTGGCCGCCAGTGTCTTGCATTACTAGTCCGACAATCACGCGGAAGCGACTTTCGGTTCTCAAGTATTTATCAACAGCCTTCCACTTCCAGCGGCCTTTGTGCGATAAACTGCCGTGCACTGCCGTACATGCTTGTCGAGACAGCGCAAGGTACGCTTGATGTAGGTTGTTGGCTGTGTCCGAGACAAAGGAGTAGCCCTGCTGCCTATTGGTCATGTCATCCTTTATGCTTTCGAGGTCTATGGCGGGCTCAAGGCCGTACATGAGTTCATAACAGAGACTTTCAGCTTCCTGTATCAGCTGCCCTGACAGCTGTCTAAATTGGGACATAGACAATGGCGATGAATCCTTCCACCATACTGACTGGCCGTCGTCGTTCCAATGCAGTAAGAATGGGGGGGTATCTGACTGTGCCGCCACGCGACCGTAGTTGCGGAGGTTGAAGAATTCATCGAACGATGATGCCAATCCGGTTACCAAAAACCGCTTGCGCATCTTGTTGAGTCGCTGAAGCTGATTGCTCCGAGGCCTAGCTTCGATGCCGAGTCCAGGATAGGCTCGGACCGGTAGGGCACGCTCGAGAAGTACGAGTCGCTGGTTGCAAATGAGGGCACAGAGATGGGTTGTGAAGTCTCGCGCCTGCAAGAAACTCTGCCGAGTTTTGGAGTATCTTAGGACGCTGCTGAAGAGCACAGCAGCATAGAATCTGACCGCTCATCAATAGGTCGTTCTTCAAACAGCGCCACCGACAGCCCAAATAGCAACTCTAATACCTCATCTGCACATCTTTGAGCGTTTGTAGCATGAAAGGCCGGAATGCAGGCGTCGTCGCTCTGTGTGCCAGCAGCTGGAATCGATCTCACAGATCGTCGCTCTGTGTGCCAGCAGCGACATTGGAATCGACCTCACAGTGGCCGCTGCCGGCGTATGCGCTCCCATCGCAGTCATCGTCGCTGTCGTACTCGCCTTCGAAGTCGCCTCTGTCATTGGTCTCATCATCGGTCTCCCCGTCGTTCTCCTCGTCGCCTCCGTGGTCGTTCGTATGGTCGATTCTGTCGACTTCCTCGTCAAGGCTCAGGTTGATGAAGTCGCGGCTTACTACAGCACTCGTTCTAGCACCGCTGGTCTGCTGTCCATCGCTATCCCAGTACTGGTTCTGCCACAACCTATCCAGCAGGCGAAGAAGTTGGGTGCTTAGCCGTATCTTCGTCAACCGCCGCCGCACGACGAGGTCGAGCCGGCA